GAGGCTTATACGGCGTTAAATTTTATACAATACGAAATCCAAATTTTGAATTTTTTTAAAATACGCAAATCGGTTTATCGTCAACTGACGATTGCATCTCAGTCATCCAGCAAAACAGAGGATACCCCCGATCTACCCTCAACCTACTCTTTTTATGTCAAGGTCCGTAAAACTAAGTCTATTTTCCCTAAGAATCGGCTCTTTTTTGTCGTTTTTCCAAATTTCAGGGGGAAAAATCGGAAATTTTTCTTCGTCTTACCCGGCTTTGGTTACGGGTCAAAATGTCGAAATTTCGTCTTATCCGTATTTTTTTTACATTGACTCTTATGGAAGTGTCAAGGGACCGAAAAAAATTTCGTCTTCAGCGGATTTTCGTCTTAACCGTATTTCGTCCTAACGAGCTTTTACTGTATGACAAGAGGAAGCTCGCGCTCACGGTTTTCGTGTACTTTTTCGAAAATTCGAACGTCGGTGGCATCGTGTTTTCTGATGGTGGGGCCATCGTGGGACCCAGCTCCGGGACGGCTTGCGTGACGTGTCGTATGATTCGACGTCTCGTCCTAATATGGCATCCGAGTTATGATCAGCTGACTCGGGCGCGTCGCGGCGACCTCCGTCCAACGGTGTCAGATATGGTGTTTAAAATGATCTTTTTCATCGTGGGATGAAGGTAAAATGGTGATTTTACAGCAGCTGGCGGCACCGCGAGGGCTCCCGGTGGACCGAGCACCTTCTCCCCCGCTCCGGCTCCCGGGCCGTCTGCCACGGCTCTGGACCCGCGACGGCGATGGCGCTTTCAGTCGGCGCTCGTAGACGCCCGCGCCGCGCCGTTCCCTTCGCGAGTGCCAGTGCGTCGTTTTGCTAATGGATCACTAGACGAGGTACGAATTTAAGCATTCTGATACATGTTTCAAATCGACGGTGAAACTACCAAACCACGTATCTCGGTTTGCGACGTCGCAGACTTCCTGTCATACTTTATTTTTTAAATGAAAAACTACTTAACATCCAGTCTTGAAAATTTCTGTGATTTTTCCTCTTTGTGCGGAGAAAATTCCGTGAAAATTTCAAGGAATGATATTGATTTGGTCTACTTCAAAAAAATGAAACGTGAGCGTAGATTTTTAAACACCGCAAACGAGATACGTGGTTTGGTAGTTTCACCGTCGATATGCAGAATTGCACGTAAAACACGATTTTCACAACGAAAATTACTAAATCCAACTTTTAATAAAGATTTTAACATTTTTATTTGGACGTATTTCTACCAAACAGACCTATGTGGAGGTGTGCTCGTCGAAGCTGCATAAGAAGCAATGTAAAAGTGGGCGTGATTCCTTTTGAAGAAATGGAAAAGCAGGATTTTGCATTCTATCAAACAGACCTATGTGCCAACTGAATGCGGAACTCATGAGCCGCGGGCATGGCAAGAGAGCGTTGTGCACAGGGCTCATGAGTTAAAGACGCGGATCCGCGGCTCGGAGTCTCCATCGTCGCCGCTGACGTCACTGGCGTTTTATTATTCCCATTCACTCTTACGCAAAGAGGACTAACGAGCACACCACATATTTCTCACTTGCACATAGGTCTGTTTGGTAGAAATACGTCCATTTCACATTGGTTACGAGGAATCTGAACTGCCCTGCCCGCTCACAGGAAACTCAAATCTCTGCGTAAGTCAAATCGCACACAACAACGGTTTCAGCAAGCTTCTCAATCGAGCAATGTTCATTTCCCACCATGTGTTGTTCAAACTATGAGCAATTTGCTACTCATAGCTGAGCCAAAGCATCAAGATCGAGGTTGCCAGATTTTTATATCGCAGAGACTGTCACGATAACGTTTAGCGCGCGATGTGAATCACGTAGAGCATTGAGTTTTCATGAGCGGATAGTTTGAATTCACGAACCAAGAATCATTAAATATCTTCGTAAGGTATTGATTTCGGTAATTTTCGTTGTGCGCATCGTGTTCTACGTGAAATGGTGGTTAAGAAACGTGAATCAAAATGCTGAAATTCGTACCTTGTCTAGTGGTCTATTCCGAGTCGCTTCCATGAAAATCCAGCCTCCGAAACGTTCGGTGAGTCCTGCCCGGTTCCTCCTCCAGGTGAGATCGGCTTTTTTCGTATTTTCCCGCTTCTGCGGGACCATGAGTGAGCCTAAAGTCCCTTCATACTGAGAGTTAAGACAATCCCCTCTCATGGATGTCACCAACGGGATTAAAGATTACACAAACACTGGGGGGAAAAAAAACACATTGGATCTAGAGTCCAGACTCTTGAAAACATTGACAAGAAAAAATACTCCTGATTCAATCGGATTTTTGCTTGAATCAAAACGAAATCCGCTTAAATTAAGGGGCTTGGTTCTTGATTTAAGCTAGATTCTGATTGAATCAAGAGTACTTTTTCATGTCGATGTTTTTCAGAGTCTGGGCTCTAGATACAATGTGTTTTTTTTTCCAGTGAATTGAAAGTTTTTCGCAATCTTTGATCGGCCCATTCTCAGATTCTTTTCTCCGTCCCTTCTTTCATTCCGTTTGTTGAGTGTAATGAGGAATCTCGAGTGAAAGAAGGAATTCTGTCCGTGGAAATTGGGAAATTTTACGTTCCAAAACGTCTTCCTCGAAATCCAAGGAAAATTGTGAGCCTGCGAGGCCTCATTCGCAGATGATGAAGTCATATCTTTCGATTGGACGCCTATTGCGGGAATTCCGCGGCTGAGCCGCGCGCTACTCTGCCGTATTATGGAAAAACGCTATATCGACGGTGAAACTACCAAACAACGTATCTCGTTTGCGGTGTTTAAAAATCTACGCTCACATTTTATTTTTTTGAAGTAGACCAAATCAATATCATTCCTTGAAATTTTCACGGAATTTTCTCCGCACAAAGAGGAAAAATCACAGAAATTTTCAAGACTGGATGTTATGTAGTTTTTCATTTAAAAAATAAAGTATGACAGGAAGTCTGCGACGTCGCAAACCGAGATACGTGGTCTGGTAGTTTCATCGTCGATATGAACCTTCACGCGTTGTCAAATCTCTTTTGATTAAACACGAATTTTTGAGAAAACTTATGATTATTTTTCTTCCAATTTTTCTGATTATTTTGTCCGCAATTTCCCATATAGCTCCTGAAACTTTCAAAGAAAAATATTCATAAATCTCTTTAAAAAACACATTATATCGGAGGAAATTTGGCAACTCTCGAATGTTCTTACGGCGTTTTTTCTTAGCATGGCAGTACTCCTAGAGATGGCGCGGATGACGAGAATCATGCGTTTAATTGCTTTCTGATGCTGGAGCCGAAGCTGGGCGCACTCCCAGCGTTCGTTATCCTCCAGAGTCAGCTGTCAGATCATCTCGATGGAGCTTATCAGCGGGGGCGGAGGCGAGCTCAGCCTCTATCATAGCCAGGCATCTAAATTGGCGCATCAGCTCGTGTTAGTTGTAATTTTGACGAGTCACCATCACTGAGTCAGTTGCGCGCTTACGATCCTCGCCGTCCAGAGCTCGTCCGAATCCAGATGCGCTTTGACAAATCATATTCTAACCAGGTGATTATCCCTTCCAATTTTTAGCTACACGGAAAAAAAATTGCTGATTCAACAATTCAATTGCTAAAAACAGTGAGTGCAGTGTTTCAATTCAGATTTTACAACAAAAAAATGCTACTTTAACCACCCCCGTGGTTATATTAGTTTACAATGTGGTTGAAGTTGCACTTTTTTGTTGTAAAATCTGCGTTGAAACATTGCACTCGCTGTTTTTAACAATGGAATTGTTGAATCAGCAATTTTTTTTCCCGTGTAGGTTTTCAAGATGATGATAGTCAGGAGGGCAAGTTCTAGAAAAGTCAGGAAAAAGCCGGGGAATTTTGCTTCAGAATCTGAACATTTTTCTTCTTGCCTAAAAATCGCATTTTTTTCAATTTTAAGAGACGTAACGCTTGCATTTTTCGAGCAAAGATTTTTACGAGGAATAATAAATTGGAAAGTCAGGGCAGGTAATGTTGAAATCCATGAGTATGGGTCGTATTCGATTGTGGCTCGATGCATCGTTTGGTTTAAAACAATAGAACATATCCTCAAACAAAATTGTAGGGTTTATAATAAAAGCTGGAAATGAGAAAATTCCGATCTTATGGATGCTATTTTGTTCACGTACGAATAAAAAATCTATCACAATAAATCCGTTTTCTCAGATTACTCAATTGACTTTTGAGGCTACGTTTACATTTTGAACCGATGGATATCGAATGTAGAATTCTCGCAAACCGCGCATTTTCATGAAAGCGAAAATCTGTGAAACCACTAAAACTGACAAATATGCTGAAAATTTTTCGCGATATTCAATTGTCACTAAAATTTGACGCTTTAAGAAAGGGTTTTGGACAAAGTTTGAGATAAAATTCACATCTTGTACGTTTTCCAGCACCAAAAAAAGCGTCTTGAGGGAAACTCGCATAGAACTAAAAAGTCCTCCAGATATTTTTTAACCCCAGAAATCAGTCCCAGAGAAAGGTGGGCGCTTCAAGTGCCGAACACTCTGTAGTCGTCGGACAACTCATAATCCTCTGATGAATCGAAGAATCCAACTGCAACCAAGTATGAGAACATAAAAAACCAATTTTCGCTGTGAGCTGAGTAACAATTATAAATATTTTTCTCCTCCTGTTTACATTCCTTTAACGAGCGTGGTCCGATGGTGATTCGCACGCCCAAACCTCTATTTTATGACGTCGTCTTTACTGTCTTGCGAAGGAAAAACGCGCGCCGTATGAACCTTTAGGCGTTGCCAAATTTTCTTTGGTAAATCACGAATTTTCGGGAAAGTTTGTAAATATTTTTCCTCGATTTTTCTTCAAATCTCTGGAGGAGAGTCTTGAAACACTCTCCGAGAAACGCATATTTTTGTTTTTTCCGTCTCTTTAAACTCTCTATCGTAGCATTTACTCTGATGAGTAGCTAATCTTGTGATATTTTCTCTGTTGACAGGGTGGAGAGCGGATAGTGTGGGAGTTCCACCAAGTGACCCTGAACAGGGTACCCGGCTATGGCTTCGGGATCGCAGTCAGCGGCGGAAGGGATAATCCCCACTTCACCAACGGAGACCCTGCCATCGCCATTTCAGATGTCCTCAAAGCCGGCCCTGCAGAGGGTAAACTCTTGTAAGTTTTCATTGCCCCTTCTCATACATAGAGATAATCAGACATTTAACAGTCGTCAGATATTTGTTTTAAAATGGAGATTAAATTGTTTCTAAAAGTGTTGTACAAATTTTCCGTAACAATATCTGGTTGAAGTGTAAATTTTAAAGTGCCGCGCTAAAGCTCCATTGAAACGGTTCAACTTTTCATTCAACTTTTCTTCCAACTTAATAGGATGCAAATTTTCACTGTGTGATTCATACAGGAAAATTTACATTCAACAGAGGCGAGGAAAATGTCGGATGAAAAATTTAACTGTGTGATTGGGCTTAAGGATAAGCGTTGTGTAAGAAATTGAACGGTATGTCTTTCTTCTTGAAGCACAAATATTTTCTAAAAAATTCGTACTTAAATTTTTCTCTTAAAAATTCAGGAAAATCTATTCGCAATTTTATATAACTTCTCAGGAAACTTCGAGGAAAAGTGTTCTAAACTTTGGAAGCACGCGGCTCATACAGTGGGTTGAATTAATCTTCTGTATGAAATTTAACTGAGAAATAGAACTTCAAACCTTTTTTTCTCAGTGCCAACTTGCTCTGGCTCAGGCTTGATCTCTTAGCCGAACGCAGATCACATGATTGTCTCGCTTCCTTTTAGACGGAAAAACATAACAAAATTTCAACGTTGCAAAAATTCCTCTTGAATTATAGTATTTTTACCTAGGGACCATCGGGTATTCTTGATTGAAAATTTCGCTGATTCCCCTCTGATGTTGGAGAAAATCAGTAAAAATTTTGGGCAAAAATGTCCTTGTCTCATATTCTTGTAGAATATTGAATTGTTTGAGTCAATTTTGTAAACTTGGAATGGAGTTCCGTTCCTTTCTGTAAGGTACGACGGAATGAAAACCAGCTTATAAAAATGGCTGTTTTGAAGCTGTGTACATTTAGTTCTACGTTTTCAAAAAGGGGCATCAGAAGACCCTTTTTTGAACTAACTCTTAACTTTGCCCGTCAGAAAATATAAGGATTTTGTGGATCATGCTCTTGACATTTTATTTCAATTGCTTTTTCAATGAGAACAGCTCATAATAGCTTTTAAGACGTTTCAATTTTCAAAAAATGTCCAGGGAGGTCTCACGGATCCCCTTTAGAGGTGGGGGAGATCCCTTGACTACCCTTGGTGGGAGGGTGCCTTTTTGGCGCCCCACAATATATCCTTGGATAGATAGTATTTATTGATGCATACATCCAATAGTAAAAAGCTCTGGCACAAGTGAAATTTACAATTCACACAAAACAAAATGAATTATTCATAGTTCCGCTCTTGTTCTCAAGTCAATATTTCTCTCGCTCCCTCGTCGCGTAAGAGATATTGCGGGAAAAGGATAAATGGACTACATTTTGCAATTAGGAACTATAAATTCTAGCCCGGTTCAAAAATAACGTATGTGACATTAGTTTCCCTATGCACATAAGTGTTTTTCCAGAGGAGCCAGAATTTATAGTTCCAAATTGCAAAATGCAGTCCAAATTATCTCGACACTCGTATAGAATACGATAGTAAACTTGAAAACTAACCGGTGCTTGCCTTCTGAGGAGCACTAAAATGGGAAAATTCTTATGAGCCTCAGAGTTCATCATCGGTGTCAAGTTTTATCATCGACCGATTCAAGAACGAAATAACTTATTGAATAGGTAGGTTGTTAACCTATGTTAATAGTCACAGCTGAATTATTTCATTTCAATGTTTCTGTGCAGGGTCAATGACCGGATCATGAGTGCCAATGGAGTGTCATTGGAGAATGTGGAATATGCAACGGCTGTGCAGGTCCTTCGCGACAGTGGCAACACGGTTACTTTGGTTGTTCGTCGTAGAGTTGTCCTTCCGACGAGTCCTGAACCACAAACCCTCAGGATTCAGCTCACCAAAAGTAGGAAGAAGGATGGTAAGTACTGTTCACCAAAGAGCGCTAGGCACTCTTTGTAGTTGGACCAGCATTGAGGAATGCAGTAGTTAGTCAAAAGAATAGATGGGATGCAGACAGTTTTTAGTCTTACACCGTTAATTTAACCAAAAGTAAAGTGGACATTTCGGTCACCATCTCTGATTATGAAGGATTTGATGGAGATCTTAAGCTTGATCCTGAATAGATGTCTCCAATTTTGTGTTTTTTATCTCCTACAGTTCAGTACCGAAGTTACCCCCTTTTTGGTGGCCTAAACTCTAAACGACTGTATATTTGGCTCTGCTGTAGTTAGGAAGTCTAACTTGCAAGGTGTCCAGGATGTCTGCTGGTCCGGAAAGTCCGGAAATAGTACTGATTTTTTAAGGGCAATCCGGAAGCACTGATCAAGAGCGGAAATTTCGCAAGAAGGTCCGGAATTTTTTCCTTCATACCACCTGTGTTTTTTAATAAGGCCTGGAAAGTATCAGGGCGGGCCGGATTTACTTACTTGCCGCCCATGGGCCGCCTGTATTTTGCCGCCCCCTACTCATTCGTTTTGAAACATCAATAAAAACCATCAAGTGAACATGCCGGAGGAGGAGGGGTGCATAAGACGCATTTACTCGTGTTGGACACATGTTTTGCGAAAGCCCTGTCAACCCTACCAGCAAAAGTTTGCGGAACTTGGCGCGAAAATTAAGTAATTCCGTAAACCTATCTCTATGTGGACAAGGCCTTCCATTCATATGAAATGAACGAAAAAATTATGAAAGAGCAAACATAAATATGGTTTCATAATTTCAACTTCCGCCGTCGCGCTGACCGCACTGTGTTTGGCGCAATGCGTGAAGTATTCTCACAGCCTTGTATGCGCTATGCGTTTCACGCTGACCGCTGCTGCATGCGCTGTGTTTGACGCAATGCGTGAAGTATTCATGCAGTCTTGCAGGCGCTATGCGTTTCACGCCGCCCACTGCTGCCCGCAGCGACCGCAGTGTCTTGGACGCAATGCGTGAAGTATTCATGCAGTCTTGTAGGCGCTATTATGTGTTACATGTGCACGCCCCACCGAGGGTTTCTCTTTTTCATCTCAAGTTCTCGTCATCATTGCTCTCTGCGCCGTGCCGTTCCAGGCCAAATTCCATGTTCAGTTTCTCTCTTCGTCTCAACTCGACTAATTAAAAGGTGTTGTCTATTGTATCACAGAAAGACGACAAAATTAGAGATATACTATCAGGAAATAAGAGATTTTGTAATCTTTTCCCGTTTGTAATTTTTTTTCTGAATCTGATTTTTCTTTATGCCTACATTTAAACGAATTGCAAAATTTGCCGCCATGGGCCGCGGCCCATGTGGCCACCCCTTTAATCCGGCCCTGGAAAGTATTCAATCCACAGCACGCCGATTTTCAGAGTAGTGTTTGCCTGCAAAATCGTGATTTTGTAGTCGGTTCATCTTCAAACCACCAATGAAATTCTTCCTCTATGTTATTTTGTACGCAATTCGAGCGAGAATTTCAAATTTTCGAAATTTTATCAAATGAAGGTACTGAAAAAATACTGAACTTTTCTGTTGAGGTGGTACTGAATTTCTTGGGAATTTACTGAGAAAGCACTGTAAAAGTACTGCTTTTTGGCCAGCCTGTTTCAGTAGACACCTGATTTCATCAGCCTCTACCACGATAAAAAAAAAAAAAACACATTTTTCAAATCAAAACTTTCAGAGATGGCTAAATTGAGCAGCCCTGTCTCATCACCTTCAAGTTTTTCAAAAGTCTTTAAATCTTTCTCGAGAATGAAAAATATTTGTCCCCTTATGCATCTGTTTGAAAAAATGCATGTAATGATTAAAACCGAAGAGAATGGAAAAATTCGACTTGATCTCTTAGCCCTCATCATTGTGTATTCCCTTACATTTACTGATGAAGATACTGTAATTTAGGTTCTTTTAAGCTCTTATAGACTCCCCTCTGATCTTCGTTTTTTTGTTTTTCAGATTTTGGCTTGATACTAGGAAGTAAAATTTACGTCAGGGAAGTTGGTGTTAAACTTGATGGTCCAAATTCTTTGCAAGAAGGAGATGTTCTTTTGAAAATAAATAGTCACGCCACCGAAGGCATGAGTCTAAAAGAGGCCAGGAAACTAATAGAAAGCAGTAAAGAGAAACTTAATTTAACTGTAAAACGTGAAGCACCAAGGAGTTTGTACAGCTCTGAGTCAACTGCACTACAAACAAAAGGTGAGAGTTAATTTATTTATGTGTTACCAAAGTAATTTTTTTTTTCTTTTCTCTTCTTTTTTTTTTCTCTCTCTTTAATAATGAATTTCTATCCTTTGGGGAAGACGAATACGTTTGCCAGAACTCTTTGTGTCAAAGTTATTGGTCTAGAACTTAAATTCTCTACCTTCCCCACAGTGTTAGTCCATTTTTGTTTAGCTCCCAATCCAGTTTCATAGGAATGAATCAATTGTACATGATATCCTCCTCGAGATCCGATAAAATGGTGTGTTGTGTATAAGTGTCTACTAAACTAACTACTGTTAATTGTCTAATTAAAGAAAACCTAAATTTTCTCCATGTGTTTAGTTTTATCTCACTCTAATGTTTTGTCATCAATTTTTTGTTTTGTTTTTTTGCTTACATCTGTCCGATTTTAGTACCTAAGTGATTAAATTCGCACATGTGGAAATTGTGGCTGTCCATTTTTTCTAACTTCGACAAAACTGCCAAAAACTGAGTGAGTCTCTTAATCACAGGATTAAATTTTGTCCAAAAGCTGACTCCCAAACCCAAAACTCCGGGATGAAGTTTTACAGTCCTAAAATTTCAAAAGATGAAACAATTCTCATTAGAAGCTCCCGCACAAGCTGATGTAGCTATTCCTTCTTTAATTTTGTTTCTTTCTCTTTACTAGGTGAGGGAAATTATCTGGACGTACTGAATGGAAATTATTCATCTCAAAATCTTTATGTAAGCCCTCCAACGAGACAACAGCTAGACGATAAAAGCAACCTATTACCAAGGAGATCCAGGAATCCTCTCTTAGATGCATCAATGAGTCAACTAGACAGGCCCGCCTCACCGTCAGCTCACCATAATCATTCTCTTGATAATATGAGTAAGTCTCTCGAAATTAGTTGTTTTGATTCAATATTTGAGGTCTGCAAATTTACATTCAGTAGTTATGTCAGTTAAAGCCGGAAAAAAAGCAAACGGACTAATTAAGAAGTTCTGTCAGCTAGTTTGAAGCAATCAGTAGGTTTCAAAAATATTCAATACAATGGCAAGCATTTCAAAACTAAAAACACACTGAAGCCATAAATGGAGGGCAAAGTGCAACCAAGAGCAAGAAAAGGTCAGTACCAGAAGTGACAACTTAGAATTAATTATTTTGAGACATCTAACTTAGGCACAAATAACGAGAGGAATCATTTAAAAGCCTAATTCACACAGTTTATTTTTTCATTCAACTTTCCTTCCAACTCCATTGGATGACAATTTTTACTGTGCACTTTAAAAAGGAAAAATTTCTTTTCAATAAAGTCCAGGGAAAAGTTGGATGAAAAATTGAACCGTGTGAATTGAGAGTAACTTTGTGGAGAAAATTTAAACTCAGAATCGAATTTTCCAAGTATGAAAGTACGAAGAGACGAATTCGGTCAAATACTGCTTCAATTTTTTAAAAGCTCCAACAACAGTAATGCATTTTGGGAGATGGGTTGGCAATTTCTAAAATATTAAAGTATCAACTTTTGCAAATGACCTTTGAATTGTTTAATGATTCTCTTTTTTTATAATATCTTCTTTATTTATTGTTAACTTACAATTGAACCACTTTACGTAGACATTCACAGACTGTCTTAGTCTTTGTAAATTTGTTTTTCTCATGAAATAATCCAGAATAAGTATTGGTTCCACTAAGATTTAGAATGCTGAAAAGTTTTACTGATACTGTGAGAAAAGTTTCATTTTACAAGGTGAAATTGAAAAAAATTTTAAGAGTGCAGTGTCTTGGAGAGTTTTTCTTTTTTGGACGTTGAGGTTTAAAAGATTAAATATGTTTATAGGATTTAACATTTAGTGTGGACTCAAGTCCTTTATCAGAAATACTTAGGTAACATTTGGAAAACCAAATAACTTTATGTCATCGTACGTAACCCTGCCCAGGCAGCATCTACCCATGGGTATATAAAGTCACGAAATTAAAATATTATTATAATCATTGAGAAAAATTTTGTGAATACACTTGTAAATTGATTCTCTGAAATTGGCTTTCTTTTCAAAAGTCGCCATTTCTAATAGAAGCGTGCTGCACAGCAAGCTTGCTTGTTGCAGTCAATAACTAAATGGCTTATTGCCACCACAAGTCCCTCGAAACACTATTTTTTTTCCAAAATTCTTATCCGATTCTGCTCATTAACATGTTTCTCTTTCTTCTTTTTCCAGATTCTTTAACTAATCATAATAGTTTAAGTAGGGAAAATATTAGTCATGGAAGTCATTCACACAGCCATTCACATAGTAGGAGTAGAAGTACATTAGAAGAGCCGCCAGACCCTCCTCGACCCCCACCACCGAAACCCGAAGGTGAGCATCGCTTCCCGTGTTTTAAGCGAGCATAGTTCTAAGCAAGTCGATAAGTAAAATGATGATTGCTCTTACTTCCATTTTAGTTTCAAATATTTTATCCATTGCTCCTACCAATTGTATCTTTATTTTGAATTTAATTTTTGTCAAAGTATGAATTTGGATGCGAAAAGGGCACTTCTCGGTTGCAGTCGGTTTCAGAGTATCTAATATTTCATTCATTGCAAGGAAAGTGAATGCATCTATTTCACTAAAAATTTTACTGAATATTCCTTGTGATTCTACAATTTTCTGTGGAAAGAATTCTGGAAAAATCACCCACTAAAGTCTCCCCCAAGGGATTAATTACCAACGGAGATTCTGAAACTTCGCAATTGAGAACTGCCCTTTTCGCATCCAGTGCCTCCATTTGACAATTCAGTTTCAACTGGGAGTTTTTACAAAGGAAGCAAAAATGAACCGTAGTTTAATGATTTTAAGAAAAAAACGAATGAAGAAAAAAAATTGTGCGAATGGCACCTCAAAATAGAACTTAAATAGTTCAATTTTTCAAGAATATGGTTCTGAAGTCTACTTTGTCAATATGTATTGTTTTCATTTTTTCAGGCATACGCTACAAGCGAAGATTTAGTGAGTCATTTTTACTCAAGATGATGTAGACATGTAGAGGCCTAAATCAGTGTGCTTATTAATAATATTTCCTTGCTTTTAAACTTGTCGGCCTAGTTATCTTTGTTTTTTAATTCATTCTGAAATGCAAATCATGTAGAAAAGTGGAAAATTCAGTAAAATCGTGTAGATACTTAACATTAATTTGCTGTAACATTCACTAGCGGTATTTAGTGCTAATGAAAAGTTGCAAATTTCTCAGCTTAATAACTAGATTCTAAGAAAGTTTACTTCAAATTAGATGCAAGTAGCATATGCTGTGAGTTAATGTCATTTGAATTTAGTTCAGTGATACCATGCATTTAGGTACCTAAAAATTCTTATTCATCCGCAATTTCTCTTTTTTTCTTGCAGATTATTACAGTAGTAGGGCGCAGCTTTATGAAGAAGATCCTTTATCCCAAAGGTCAAAACAACCTGTGTATGTATTACCCGTGTAGGTGTTCTTTTTTATCCACTAGTATTTCTTTCTTTTTCTTTTTTAATTTTTGTATTTTCTAGCATTACAAAGAGAAGGGCCAGTTATGATATACATATATGTATAGCTGCTTAAACCCTTTTAACCAGCATGAAATACACTTTTTTTTGCTTAAAACCAGGAACAAAGAATGCGCCATTGAAGTTAACAAATCTGAAAATGATGTTGTATCAATTATTCGTATGTCTTACAACTTTTTTTTATCAAAATATTGATTTGATTTTACTAAAAATGCTCTTAAAAAATGAAATGAAGCTTCGCATTATTCCACTCTCAAGACAGGACTTGAGTTAGAAAGTACTTATTTTAGATTTACAGGACAAATAAAACTTCCAGTCAACTTTACATCTTAAATTCAATGATTAATGGATACCTTTCCATCAGTGAAGATACTATTTTCTCTTTACTAATCAGATCATGAATCATCCAATGGTATCTGAAATCATTTCACGTTAAAAGCTACCTATCTTTTCATGAATTTGTGTAATTTTTTGTCCACAGGCCAGACCCTAGGTTCATAACTTTTCAAAAGGAAGGTTCAGTTGGTATTAGATTAACAGGAGGTAATGAAGTTGGCATTTTTGTCACTGCTGTCCAACCTGGCAGTCCAGCATCCCTTCAAGGCCTTCAACCTGGTGATAAAATTCTTAAAGTAAGCATTTATATTTTTAATAAAAAAAAGAACAACTACTGGAAAATCTCAATTTAATATTCTAATTCATCCCTAAGGTTGTGTAAAAATTATAATCAGAACTTCTATTCAGCAATCAAAGAGTGCGTTGAAATCCCTCTACAAAGAACCCCGCTTAGAGCATGGGATCAGCGGCCTTTGATGAAAGTCGATGAAACTTCAATAGATTGATACAAAGTTCATAACTAAGGGAAAGTAAAAAAATCAGCTCTCTTTTGCGAGTAGAAGCCGAGATATTCGCGATTGAACCCGGACTACTTTCTGTGCGGCGGAGGTAAATCCTCCGTGTCGCCTTACCTTGCTTGAGCATTTTGGCCAGGAAACCCCCTCTCCCCACCAGGCAACTACGATGTCTCATTGTTTACACTCACTCCTTTCATTAGGACGCTCCGTTCGGGCTGTGCGATGTGGAGTTCCCTGCTTCTCGCACCTCTCCCGTGCCGGCACCGCTGGCCGGTTTAATCTGAAATGTAGTTGCTGAAACAGAATTGACAGATGCGGGGAGAGGGAGGGAGTACAGCATTCGCACCGGCCGAGCGCATAAGCACCTATCTTCACGTGAGTGACGTGAGGTCTGATCGAGAACGCCAAACAACGAGAGGAGAGGGGACTCGGAATTCTTCCGTCATGCTGCGGCATGATAGAAAATAGTCCGTATTCAATCGCGAATATCTTGATTTTTACTCGCAAAAATTAGCTAATTTTTTGGCTTTCCCTTAATTATGAACTTTATATGAATCTATTAAAGTTTCATCGACTTTCATCGAGAGCCGCTGAATGCTCTGTGCGGGGTTCTTTTCCCAGAGGCAAATAATTTATTATAGCATGTTTCAGATTACTTTTCCCCTTTTGCTACATGTGTGGGATAGGGAATTACATATGAGAAAAGTGGAAAAGTAATCTGAAATGGCCTCTCGCTTAGTTGTGGTGTATTTCTGTTGTTACTCCATTCTAAAGGACACTCAAAATTTTTGCTGTGGTTGCCCTCCTCCGAAATTACTATAGTGTAACATGGGTTATTATGTTTTTTCATCTGAGTCATTACTAACACATTCATTGCCAAGCCAGTCCTAGTGACTGTATTTTGGTGGTTGTGAGATTGTAACAGCCGCAGCAAAGAGCAACTAGAGAGGCGCCTTTTCATTGAGTTGTCAAGCCTTAAAGGCACTATCTGCAGGCTTTCCAAGGGATTAGCTGTAGAACACTGGTTACTTAAGCAACCAATAGGAAGTTGCGGTCATTGCGGTGATGCACAAAAACTTTGCTTTTGAAGCATTGGAATTCTGCAATTTTTGTGGGAGTCTTTTGGCCTGACAGGAATGATTCTGCAAAAAAAAAAAAAAAAAGAAAGCTGGCAGTGAATGTGTCAACAAAAAATAAAGAAATAAAGAAAATTGCATGTTGATAATTTCGTTCATAAATCAACATTGTCAATCCATTGTGGTTCTGTGAAGAGTTCATTAAATTAGTGTTATATTGAGTAATCAATCTGGAAAGTGTTTTTGACTGTAAGTGCATAATAATTTTTGTCTTCAAAATTCTTTCTAAGCATTTTGATTTCTTTTACAGGTTAATGATATGGATATGAAAAATGTTACTAGAGAAGAAGCAGTCTTATTTTTATTAAGTCTTCAAGATCAGGTTCACCTAATAGTTCAACATAGAAGAGAAGAATATGAGCATATCGTTGCAGGCCAAAGAGGGGACTCCTTTCACATCAAGTAAGTTATAGATTCCAGCCTACTTTCAGCTTTTTATTGAAATGAGAAAAAACCTACAGATTTGAAACTGCTTTTGTAAAAATGAGTTTGGCACTAGCTAGACAAAGTTTTGATTCCTGAGCATTTATGAGGGAAGGCACTCAAATCTATGGAAGCAAATTAGAAGCAAAACTAATTTTTAAAAGGGCGTTTTTTCCAATGAAACCGCAGAGGATTGTAATGGAATGCGATAGGATGCCTGTGCCTCACTTTTTTGTCCGGATCCGCTGGTTCAATCCAGCCCATTCCCCGCAATCTGGTGGAACGCTAGGATTCTTCTCACGAGGTGGGTTAAGAGTGGTTTTGTGCGATCCTAACCTTAGTCGAACCACTCTCAAATGTAAAATTCTTGATCCATCGCATTTCATAGATTAAAATAAAGCCCTTAATTTCCTGCTCACAAAAAAGCCTTTATCAACTAAGGTCTAATTAGCTATTGAAAGCAAGCCATATGGCCGGCAAATTATTGGAGCTTGGTCTCATACTCGTGTTCCTCTTCCTCTGATAAAGACAACTCTAATCCTATTAAAGAAAAAAATGTGTACCACACATGCCAATTCGTTCATTGTAAAATATAAAGAAATTAGCTTAGTGCTCGATGTGACCAGAGTTTACTTCAGATTGCTAAGAGTGAATTGACATAGGTAGCAAAAAAAAAAACCCTCTATTTTCTCTCTATGAATGCAACCTATATTCCATCGAAATTCTGACAAGGAAACATACAATTTGGTGCTTAATTTTGTACCTTATCAACTGAATCAATTATTTATTATTTTTCCATTCTTTTTTATTCTTTTTTAACGGTTTTTTTGTTTATTTTTGTTCATCTCAGGGCTCATTTCAACTATGACCAACCAAATAAAGGGGAAATGAGTTTTAGAAAAGGTGACATTTTCCACGTTGTAGACACACTGCACAATGGCGTTGTTGGATCCTGGCAAGTTTTCAGGATTGGTAAGTTTATGAACGAGAAACTTTCTCTCTCAGGGAGTTAAGGGTAGAGAGAATTTTAAATTATTTCTAACATCTGTGAACTTTTGATTACAAAAGCAATGGATGGCCCTTTTACTGAAGTAACTCTGATTTCAAACATTTAAACAGAACAAATGTATATCAGAGCTGAACCACTGTTCACCCTCAGAAAAGCATAAACTATGAAAATGAGAAATTTACTTGAATGGATAGAGTGTTTTCTTTGCCATTCTATTACTCCTCAAGTGGTCAAAACAAAATTTATTTATATTTATTATTTATTCATGATCTTTTATCAAAGTTTAGATATGATCAAAATCTTTTTAAATTCATTTGTGATTTTCTTACCTAAGAAGAAGAGAAAACAAAGTAGCTTTCAAATTCTCTTTCAATAAATGCGTAGATAGCCGCATTGTTCACTCACTTTTACCGAGTTTGGTTTATTCAGTCATTTTTTTGGTAGCAATGTATTTTCATTTTTCATTTCTCCCTCATCTTAATAGTCATTTTTTTCTGTCAAAGGACGCAACAATCAAGAGGTGCAGAAAGGAATAATCCCAAACAAAGCCAGAGCCGAGGAATTGGCCACTGCTCAGTTCAACGCTAGTAAAAAGGAACTAAATACCCCTGAAAACAGAGGTAGTTTCTTCAGGAGGAGGCGACACAGCCATCGTAGGTCGAAATCTCTATGTAAGGTAAGTATCAGTCTTCAGTGACCTCTTTTAATTATTTTTGAAAGATTGAGAGTGGTCAGTTTTGTAATTAATATATCTCCTCAATACTTTAAAATAAATATTGTTTGAAAAATTTGCATCTAGGGCAAAGTATCTGGATTTGAACCGTTGCGCAGATGGTGTAGTCTTGAGCTAAAAGAATAAATGTTTTCAATGACTTTAGAATAAACCTTGAAATTGAGACCCCCGATTCCAAAAATCTTCGAGCGTAAATTTATTACAAAATGAATGAATGTTTTTTTCTTTTAAATTTTTTCACATAATATTACCAGAATCTAGGTAAGTATGCCAATGCATCAAAATGTGACACCATCTGGAAATAAATTATTGAAACAAATTTTTGCATTTCAAGCCTATTGATAGAGGAAAGGCAAAATGGAGACTTGACCGTATGGAAAACAATTGTTTGTCCTCTTGGAACCCATGTTCGTGGAAAATCTGTCAGCAAATCAATTGGAGAATTACCTGTTAACAATTAAGATGGCGTACAGAACATGACTTTTTTATGAGAGGAAGAAAACCACAGTAGCTCCATCTAATATTAACTTTACCTCAGTTTTTCTCCTATAATGCTTCATTTTGTCGTAAAGTTGCTCTTAATTTTATCTCCCCCTTAGCTATTTTATTGTTTATTTTTGTTTTATTTAATTTATCTATTTATTTTGTGTGTTTGTGTGTAAACAGGATCATTGGGATGATGTTGTGTTCGGTGATAGTGTTAGCAAATTTCCAGCCTATGAACGAGTCGTTCTAAGGCATCCAGGATTTATTCGACCTGTTGTTTTGTTCGGTCCCGTATCAGATATGGCCAGGGACAAACTACTGTTAGATTTTCCGGACAAATTTTCTTCACCTCGTAAGTATTTTGTCAAATTCTTTCACATATCGAACGGCTAACATGGCTACGTGCGAAAAATGCATATTTCAAAGTGTAGTAATACCCTTTTGTCAAGTGAGCAACGAAATATTCCTCCAAAATAAAACCTACCCAGTTAACCTTCCACATGTTGCCCAACAAACTATTCTTTTTCATTTTTTGTTGAACCCGCAATGTAAAAAAGGAAGTAACCAAAAATCGGACTTTAGTTTCAAAATTTAAGGAAATAATTTCTAACAGGAATTATCTATATTTTTCACTATTACTTTGTTCAATAAAACTTGTTCATTTCTTTCTTTCAGAGCTTGAGAACACTCTTGAGGACGGTAAAAAGTCTTCAGGGATTATTAGACTTAGTGCAATTAGAGATATTATGGATAGAGGTAAACATGCATTGTTGGACATAACCCCCAATGCAGTTGATCGACTGAATTATGCTCAATTTTATCCAATCGTTATATTTTTAAGGGCTGAAACCAAAACCATCATAAAAGAACTTCGTGCTGGGCTTTCAAAGTAAGTCGTTTTTTTCTGATTTGTTTCTCCCCTTTTTTCTGCTTCACACTCAGTTTTGCATTGATGACATATTAATTTAGCTCTGGTAGGCTTGCCTCCTATAGCACATAAATATTCGTCTAAAACGAAACCAATCCGACTCCCCTCCTCATGTTTTAAATTTAAATGACAAATCTTTTTCATCTCCAAAAAATGTTTTAAGTGTTCTTTTACTTTTTTTTTTTTTCAACTAGCATAATTTTTTGTGAGAATCTTTTTGCTAACCATCAGGTGTCTCTTATTTGTTCTTTTCTGTACCTTTTCTCATCATTCGATAAAAAAATGATCAGATTTTTGGTTATATTTTTTAAAGTATAAAAATGTCTCATCGCTTGAAAGAAGAAGTTAGAAAAAGCTGATAAAATCTATGTTTTTTTTTTAAACAAAATTTTTTAGTTTTTCTTTCATGCAGAATCAAATTAATAATTTTACATTTTAAATTTTTTGTGCTCAGTCCTATTTTGGAATACATTCCTTGGTAAGTGGTTACATGAAGTATTAACCCCTGTCCTATAGGTGAAAAGAAAGAAAGAAAAGAATAAAAAATTCTGAAGCTTAGTTTGATAGTCATTTTTGTGCAGGCTTCGTAAAATTAGTTCACTTAAAAAGTCACAATTATTTTGAACTCTAATACAGGTAATTGATACTTTGTCGTGAACCAGCTCCCATTGTAATTTAGGTAGTATTAAGTTATGAATATTTTCCTGAGTAGATGATAATGTCCAGTAGATCCAAAAAATATCAAAACTTGTCTCTTACTCATTTTCAGGACTCACCATAAAAGTAGTAGAAAATTGTTTGATCAATGCAGAAAGCTAGAAAAAATTTGGTCACATGTCTTCAATGGAACTGTGACTCTTACTGGTCCAGATGTTTGGTACCGCAAATTGCGAGAGCTAATCAACAAACATCAATCTGGCCCTGTTTGGATGAGCGAATCCAAGGTAACAGAATTTTTCTCTTTTGCCCATCAGTACTTTAAAAATTTTGATTATCGAGTTTCATAAAGTACCTTTTGCCGGCCCTTGAAAATATACCTAAAGATGGCTTCTGGAAACTATTTCAAAATCCTTTTCAGTAATATCAGTGAGTATATATTCCTAGCTGAAGTCGTACGGGTCATTTCACGGTAAGTTCGTTCTTAGGCCCTCGGGTAGCATCTCAAACACGTTCATGATGCTGGTTCTGCGTGACCGGCATGATCAATGTGTTAAACATCCCCATTATAACCTTTCCTTTTTAAAAATTCGGCAGTTTGCTATCAAACACTCTCCTCTTGTCAAAGCCACAAATCCAGAATAACTTATTTAAGTTTGCTCCCAAAATCTTGGAGTGTGCACCGATATTGAATGGAATACAGCTGTGATTGAGACTCAAGTTTTCATTGCAGGGTTCAATTTTTAGCTTTCTCTCTATTATTACATCCTTCTCCTTTATCCATTTGTCAGAATGGGCCTGACTGTTTTTGTAAATAATTTTTGAGTTGCATTCTTTTTGACTGCAAGGCGCATTCTTTGATTTTTATCCTCTCATGTCTTTTGTCCAGGATTTTTAAAAATAATATATGGTGTGTACAGCGAAAAAAAACCCTCCTCTCTATTGCATAATGGGTCAGTTGCGCTGGTCACAGAATCGTGTTTTGATACTTGATTCCCGTATATAAGCTAAATATAATAAGATTCGTCCAATCTGCGACTTTCTACGTTCAGTATTTACCGAGATATCGCTCTTTGAAAAGTCGGGTTTTTTACGTTATCCACCGTGGTAGTGACACCCTTAGTTTCTTCCACTTTGCTTTCATCCGGATTTCATGTTGAATAAGCAGTACTAATGTGCGTCACACTGACTGCTAAAAGCAGGGTGGAAGAAACCAAGGGTGTTACTATCATGGTGGATGACGTCAAACCCCGACTTTTCAATGGGCGATATCTCGGTTAATATTGGACGTAGAAAGTTGCAGTTTAGACAGATCTTATTATTTTAAGCTTTTCTATGTGAATCAAGCCTCAAAACACGATTCTATGACCAGTGCAACTGGCCCATTGCAAGATCCTTAAGTGTGCTCGATAGAGATCAACATTTTTCAATTTTATGAGTTAAAGTAATTGTTTCTATTACTTTATTTTTTTCAGTCTGTGGAATTTCTGTCAGATCTCTCAGTGTGGCCTCCGTCAATTCTATACTCTCCTTTACCCCCTTTCATCCTCAACTCAAATAATTCCTTAATTTCCGAGCACTTCTTTGGGTTTATCTAATCTTTAACCCTCATCAGCATGCTTTCATGTATTTTTATCACAAATCCTTCATTCTTTTTCATCTTTATGTGTTTACTTTCTTTCAATATATTTTATTTCATTCTATTCCACTCCATGTTTATTTATTCTGCTAATGGTGTTCTAAATGTATTCGAGTAGAAGCTTTCAAATCAAAACTGAAATAGCCGTTGAGTTTTTTTAATTTATTTATTTTCTCGTTTTTCAAACATCAACTTATTATCTATTGACGAGCGCTTGAAAGGATAGTCAAACAAAAGGTTAATAGCAGCAAAAATTGCTAACTTCATTGCATTGAACAAGAGTATTTAAAGAGTATTCCCTATCAGTGTAACGGTAAAAACTGATTGACCGTGATAAGGCAAGTCAAAAAAAAAAAAATTAAAAAAAGTGAAGTTGTGACTCTGTCAATAGGTTTTTTTTTCTTTCTCTTCTTTTTTTTGTACAAAAAGCTAGTTCAGATTTTGAATGTTACAAATGAGTTGAGCTCTCCACTGTATAAAGTGAGCATTGTCAATAATTATTTCGGAATTGACCAACGGTAGTCCTACAACACACCCTTAATAGTTTGATATCTTTTTCACTCTGTGCAGATTATTGTGTGTGCCAAAAGTCTCCTCCTCTCAGGCAATTCATTTCTGTGTAACATGATTTATAAGAAGTCGTAACTTTCTTTTTTCTCCCGTGCGCTTCATTTTGTTCACAGTTCAACTCATTTAAAATGTGCGATTTGATTCAATGGAGCTTTCACGCACTTAAGCAGCAATTTGCTTTTTTTGTGGTTTTTAACTTTTTACATGGATTCATTTTGAAGGAAGAACGTATCATCAATTCATCACAAATTACTTCCATTTTTTTTACTTTTATACTACTAATTTACTGATTTTTGTTTGTTTTTTTTTTGCATGATATAATAAAAAGTTTTGTTATTTTTGTGCAATTGTTTGTGCGGCTAACCATGAGCTGTGTTGTTTGGCATGTGTTCTTGTTCAGCCTGAGGAGACCCTGTCGGATGATTTCCTGTTCCCGATGGCCTCCCTCCGTCTTTCCTATGCCTCGTCCCCCGAAAGCGATGTGGAACAGAACAGCAGTGGAGTCCTTCTACCACCACGGCTAGTTAAGTGTTCCTCGGATCCCAGTATTGCCACACAAGAAGACACAGCTGTCATTACCCCCTCCTATAACGCACCCCCACCTTACACTCCATCTGCATTCAAACAGGTTTGTTCCCTTAAAACGATTCTGCTCTGATGTCATTGTTCTCTTTTGTGTGTGTGCTCTATGAGTGGTTTGCAACATTTGTATGAATAAATGTCCGCCATATCCACTCCGTAATTTCAAATGTGCCCCCTTGAAATAAAATCAAATAAAATTCCAGCAGCTATTCTGCCATGCTAAGGAAAAACGCTGTATGAACCGTCAGGCATTGCCAAATTTCCTTTCATAAAACACGAATTTCCCGGTAAACTTATGAATATTTTCCTCTCAATTTTTCAGATAATTTAGTTCACAATTTTACCTAAAGATTCTGAAAATTTAAACATTTTATCAGAAGAAATTTGGCAACTCTCGAATGTTCGTACGGCGTTTTTCCTTAGCATGGCAGTATTTTGGAACGATGAAAGGCAGAGAATTTTCAGTCGCACAGAAAATCGTAAACAAATTTGATGTCATGCTCCAACTTCCCACTTGTGTGTAGTGTTCTTTGTTTTTTTTCCCCTCTCGCTTGGATTTAAGGGCACTCCCTAGCTGAGTGTCTCTACAGTATACTGCCTCATTTGTCATTCCAAAGCTGCTGCTCTCACTGATGTGTGTCTTCAGAAAGTTCAGCTGAGGTGGAAGATAAAACTATAGATAAAAATGGATAAAACCGGATTCGATAAAAATCCATCGTTCACCATTGAGAGAGATGCTGATACTCAAAACTTAGTTGTAAGCCAACTCCACAGTTCCCTCCAGTCTCAAGTCAAAAATTACTCTTCTTGCACCCGCTTAAGCACAGGACTTCATGACTGTAGGCGACTTTGCACATGCATAGTCGCTCTACTAACTCGGATCAAAAGATGCGGAGATTAATGTTGCAAAGGATCCCTCTTGAATTCGAAGATTTTATCGCAAATACTCATGAGCCATTCTCTCATAAAAATTAAAAGTCTAATTAGGCCTTGTCTCCAGGAGCTGTTTCACAGGATTTGTCCCTTGGAAAAATCCCACTTACGAAGTTTGGAAAAATATTGAGTTAATTAATATTTTTCCCAGTACCAAGTATCGTTCTTGTACTCCTAGGACCCACTGAGATAGGAAGAAGCGTAAACGAACTATGCAGTATTTTGTTGATTACTCCATTGTTAATGTTTGTCCAGTTAAAATAATGTGTAAAATTGTTGACTGAGTGCAATTATTATTTTAATCCCGGTTAAATACTCGACTTTAACTCATTTATCTTCCCGTGCAAACTAGTACCAGGACTGTATGAGTCCTGTCCCGTGAAGATGGTAACTGGGATAAATTCCAGAAGTTTCATTCCTGCGATTCGAACTTGGGACAAATCCCATGAAAACGTTCCTTGGAGACAAGGCCTTAGAAGTAAAAAATTTGAAACCCAGAGTTTCCTCTTGATCTTATATTTGAGCGTCGTTAAACAAGATGGAACTTTAAAGTGTCCTCTCCTCAAAATGGTACAGCACCAAGCCTAAAATTCATCTTGTCTTTCTGAAAAGTCCCACAGAGTGCAGGGGAAATCATTTTTTTCCTCATCTCTTGAGACTAAAGCAACACTGTCATTTTTCTTACACACCTCAATTGTTGCCATTGTTCTTTTAGGCAAGTTACGAACCAACTAAGCCTCGTAGATCTGGTGGTGGAGACAAGTACAGTTTTTCTCCGCCTCAAAGTCCCTTAACTGGTGGTGTTCCTCCTGAACTTCCACCTAGGATAGATCGCTCGAATAAACCTCCTCGGTCGGGTGGCAACCCTGGATCAGCAGCTGAAAGACTTTTTGGCAGTAATAATGCCATAATCAACAAAAATGATGACCCTCCAAATTATATCAATGCTACTCCCCAGTACAGACCCCAGAATTCTTCATTGGAACGTCAACATGCCAACAAAACAACCGTAAGTTATGGATTAAACTCAGAGCTATTCTAAAAATAAAATCAACATGAATTAGTTCTCCATTTGCATTTTTTCTTTAATTTCAGAAGCTATCCACTATTACAAGGAATTTTGCTCTACATAAATCCAATGGAGTCTTTGCATACCACAGGGATTTGCAATTTAAGTACGTTTTTGTAGATAAAATTTTGCAATAAACATCATTATGCTGTTGGTTTTCTCTGAAATAAACTCCCAAGCTAAAAAACAGAAAAAAAAGAAAGAAAAAAAACTCGAAGTTGAGGCTGTAAAGGAGAGAATCGCCTGTGTTACAGTGAGAATCCACCTGTATGTCCAGTCAGTCACTCTTTGTACAGATCGGGAGGGAATACATTAGCAGCGCTGCTGTGGCTCCAGCTTTGGAGCTTCTAAATAAAATGGCAACAGCCCAATGGCTAATGTATTTGCTCCTGCTCTGTACGAAGAGAGTCTGATTGGATGTAGAGGTGAACTCTCACTGTAACACAAGCGATCCCTTCTATTACAGCCTCAACCTAAAGAGTTATTTTGAGCTGATGAGTTTGTTCCAGAGAAAACTAGTGGCACCACTGCACTATCGTTTTTCTCGCAAAATTTTACGGAAGTAAATTTTTAAAATTGCAAATCCCTGCAGTAAGCAAAAGCATCATTTACTTGCTTATGTACCGCCATAGGATGCATCATTTTTTCTGAGTTAGATTTACTGAGAATATTAGCAAGGGGATACTCTTTGATAATTTTATAAAGGTAATGAAAATATGGCCAGTGCACATTTCGACAGTGAAACTGCAAAATTGCATATCTTGATTGCAGTGTTTTGAAATCTTCATTCCTAATTAATTTTTTAAAAGAAATTCAAAACAACATCATGGCTTAAAGTCTTTACAGAATGATCTTCATTAAGAGAAGAAACATCACTGAAATTTGCAAAGAATGACTTTCAGTAGTTTTCCATGTGGAAAATGAAATATGACGTGAAGTTAGCAAGGCTGCAAACGGAGATACGCATTTCTTCAGTTTCACCATCGATTTATCAAATCTGTATCCTCACCACACACTTACCTCTAATATTGCCTATGAATCAGGCTATTCTGTGTTCTGTTTTTGTGTAGTTGAATTTGAGCCGTGTTCTAACACATCTTTTCATTCCTTTTTGCTCTTTTTACTCAGTTTTATCAATGTCTTTGCTTTTTCGATTCACAGAGTAGCTACGATAGTGTCTCCTCCTATGATAGTTATGGTCAACGTATCGGGCCTCCAAATGGAAACCTAGGCCCAAATGCTCATGACGATCTTAAGTCATGTAATGGTGATGCGAGAACCCCTCCTCGTAGTGCACATGATCCATACAGGTTTACTCGCTCCACTCAACAGCCAATCAAAGCAAACGGAATCAATGGTGTGAATGGTGTTGGGCCTCCTCTAGATGTCCCTCATAAGCCGAACAAGCCAACTGACTATCCTAAGTATAGGTGAGTTTTGTGAGAAGTCTTTTTACGAAAACAAACAATGACACCTTTGATGAATGAGAACAGGAGCGTAACAAAGTGAGGACTTAAGGAGACTAGCCCTCCACATTTTAGTGTTAAGATAAAGAAAAAAGACCCATGGGAAGCCTCTTTTGGTCTAGTTTCATGAAACCTGAGTTTATCATTCTTAATACTACACCCATCAAAAGTCCTGCTCAAAGTATTAACACAAATTAACATTTATTAGGAGAAAAAATTTAGCAAACAACAAGTAGTTTGAATGGTTAGTGGGCAGGTGAGACAAGGAAAAACCTGGAATAGACATGTCAACACTGTTTTTAAAGAAATGTTCGTCTAATTTAATGAATTAGATGATATCGGGTAGTAAATTTCACTAATGAAGAAGACAAGGGTGAAAATTGAAGCATTACAAGGTATGTTTCCCCATCAAAATCTCATACAGAACGCATCAAATATTTTTAAAAATTCAAAAATTCTTTTGTAAGAAAGAAATTAGCGTCAGTAGTTTACAGTAGAATAAGTAAATTTGAGCTTCCCGCTTAAGAAAAAATCAAAATTGATGTAGGAGAAAACCGACCATTTTTTGGCACTGGGGAATTATTCACTCATCGTGTGCACAAAGCATACATATTTTTTACCAGGCAGATGTGACATTTATTCTCGTTTATTGAACACGTCTCGATTTTCCTGAGCTTAATTATTTTCTAGACTTCCTCTATAAGACTCTACTACCGTCCGTTTCATCCTTGACAGGTGTAAATATTCAAACAGGTGTATGTCTACTTTAAGCGCATCTCAGAGTTTTCCACTCCTTCCCATGATGAAAACTTCCCAAATTTACATCTCAACACGTAGAACTTTTGTGTAGACCTGATTTTTCCCACAAGATGGTAGTTAAAATATATACTTTGGAATATCCTCGTTATCTCACGTTGCACTGTAGAGTTTAATGAAACATTCCTTGCTATGGTCAAAATTTATTCATTCAATGGTATATTATGTCCCACAAATATTTTTTAGAACTGCTTACATCCTTTTAATATAGAGAAAACTTGAATGTTGGAATGAAGTATCACTCTTCTTGCGTAGAAATTGAGAAATTTGCTTCATTATTTTATCAAGTACAACAATTGCTTTGGCTTTTGTGTTTCCCAGTATCTGAGCAATCCAAACAATCTTCCAATCTGTCATTGTCATTGTTGTCTCGTGGTGTCCAAATTTTCCAAGTGATTTAATTCTCCTGCATTTTCCCCCTTCTCTCCCTCTAGTTTTTAAAACTTCAAGTAGAGTGACCTCTTAAGAAACCTCGCAAAAGATCCAGACATTCTTTCCTATTCAAAACCTGTCCTTCAATGGAGAATTTGCAAGTTTTTGAGATACGATGAATTAAATTTATAACCGGCAATTACTAATATGAGCTGATCACAAGGATACCCTTGGATCTTAGGTTTTGTGGCAGTGTTGCACCATTAATGTCAGAGTAACTTACATCGCTACAATAGATGCATTGAAATGAGGAATGACTCTCCGTGATGTTGTAGTGTAGTAAATTTTGTCATTTTTGTCTCTCTAACTCCCCATATTGGAAACATTTTTAAAAAATACAGTTGCATCTCGTTATAAAAATTTCATAGGGAATTAAAAGTAGAACGTTGTTTCCAGAAAAGCAGTATTTTGAGAAACGCTATAATGAGAAACCTCTGGCTGGGACTTAGAAAAAGGCACTTGTTTCTGGAAGAATGTTGTAATGAGATTTGTCTGTAGCGTAAATTCAGCTCATCAATCGGTCACAATGGAGCAATAAAATTTTCTGGTGAAATTCTCCATTCCTGGTTTCTTTTCAATTTTTACCTCCTCCTGTTTCACTATCACTATTACCAAATTTTTTACTTGCAGTAGGATTGTGTTTTTTAGTAGAGTTTTTGTTTGATTTGCAGGCCTCCTGGAGGCGGTCACCCAGGAGGTATCGTAGAGTATGCTACTAGTAAACCCTTACCTCCCCCCAAAGCACCTCAGTCATACAAACCAATTCCACCTCCGAAACCGAAGAATTACCGACCTCCGGCAAGCCAGCAGTACCAAACCTACCAAACAGCCACCGTCAAAGAAACTGCCCCGTACCAGCACGCCAAATCTTACAGTATTGCGGAGAATAACTACGGTTCGCATCTGACCAATGGAGTAAGTTCATTTTTTATTCTATCCAAGTTTCATTTATTTAAATTTTCTTTGCTTACACGCTTCCATTGTATCAAGATTTTAAATCAAAATAGGCCCCCAGACAAGGTATCCATCAAATCACCATGAATTTCTTTTTCTCAAAATTTCACGAAGAAAAGGAAGTATCAAAATGAACTCCGAAACAAAGTAGGAGCGTTTGTAAATTAACGTAAGTTAAATGCAAAAATACAAATGACATCATCTGTATAATTTGCTTTTCCTTTGATCTGCTTTAAAGATACCTAGTTAATATCTGGTTCAAGGACTGGTTTTCAAACTTCTTGCTGTGTAAATCGTTCTCTGTGTAAGATTTTGAAGAAAAACAAGTGGTTTTTTCTTAGTTCAGACCTTGTCTGGTGGCTCATTTTCATAATTGGACATATTCCTATCAAACGGAACTATGTGCATGAAGACATGAGCCCTGAGACCCATAAGAATACATGCCTACCAGGGCTCACGTCATAATGCACATAGTTCCGTTTGACAGAAATGCGTCCAATTGTTTATTAGTTTTTGAGAATGATCCCTTTTCTCATGCATGAGGTTCAAATTTTGAATGTTTATGATTTTTATTGATCAACTTAATATTTGCAAGGTTGATCTGATTCTCTCTGGAAAATGTTAGGTGATTGACATTTTCAATATTATTCGTTTGTAAAATGTCTTTCAGGGGCTCAGCATAAAATAAGAAGAGTGTAATCTTGGCAGTTTAGAAGTTTAGTCAATAATAATTTGACGTTCCTGCCAGTAGAGGAGTTTTGTGAAATGCAAACGTTGTTCCCTTAAATGAAAAATTAATTTCAGTAGTGATTTTATTTTATATTTTCATGTGCTTTATTATTTTTTTTGTCATCAGGTGCCACCTTCACCTGGAAAATACTCATCGGACACAAATGACAATGGGGGTTTTGACTCTGGGCATGGGAGTAGCCTAGACAGGACTTATGATCATCGCTCAGATAATCGCTCTATGGACCATCACAGATCTCCGAGCCAATATTATTATAATGTAAGTAGGAGGCATAATCATCATCACAGGGAGCCTAGCGGCTTAGATCTCACGCATCGTGATCAGCGAGGAAGCGCTTTCGAGTTGTATAAAAAACCATCTGACCCACGTAATAATATTCACTACCCAATAGAACATACTTTAAGGTAGGATATCACTTATTTGGAGGGATTTCTGCATAAACAGAAACCAAGCTGTTTTTCAGAACAGTATAGAGGATGATTTTTGAGGTAGCAAAATTTGATAGCTGAACAATATTGTGACTGGTTCAAAGTCATGTAATTCAGTCCCTCTGTGCAATACTGTGACTTTAAAATACTCAATTTGAAATTTCTAACAGCAGGAAGATGGATATCTCTCAAATGAATTGATTGTTTTATCCATCGAAACGGTGAACATCTTGCAAAAGTAAAAAATGAAAATAATCAAGTCGTAAACTCCTACCGAACTTATTGAAGAACCTCTGTTTGAATTATCTACTTTATTTTCCTTAACGATACTTTTCTTTAAACAGAGCAATCTGTAACTCTGTTTTCAATTCGTTTAAAAAAACTCAACATATTCATAATCACAGTCTTTAGCTGCGGGCACTGAATTCTTTCAGCGAGCATTGAATTTTACTACTTCAAAAAATATCACAATTAAATATTGACTGAATTTTTTCTTTGCCTCAATGTCCCACACCTTGTTGCCTTTCATTATTTACATAAATTTAAATAATTCAATATGTGTATTAATGTGTATTTAATTGTAATGTATCTTTCTTTTTGTAGCAATCATTGATTTTTAAGTACATTACTGGTATATATTTACCTTAAGTACCTAAAACTTGCATTATTGATAACGATCTTAAGTCAATGCATGAATTTATGGAAAGTGTCAATTTTTCATTAACATTACTGTTGTATCTTTATGATCTGTACCATATACTGTTTAATGCCGTATTAAAAAGGAATATGAATCTTTTTATATTTCTTCAACCAGTTAATAATTAGATTATTCGGAACCCTCAGAATACTCGTGTTTCGAAATACCTGTTTTTTTTATGGATATGACACTTAACACAACTTAGTGCACGTCACACTTAGTGCAACGTTTTTTTTACATCAGTGCCTTTTTGAAATCCAGCCTTGTGTGTCCTATTTCATTCTGTCTACTAGTGTTGCCGTGATCTCATCCTACTACATAGTGCTCTTATTTTAAAAGTAAACGTTTTCAATACTTGACATTTTCCTTTTTTATTATATGCAAAGTATGAAACCTTCAGCAATTGAGCTTTCACTCCAGGAACCTACTTCATAGCAGAGTCCCTAAAATAGCCAGTCAACAGCCATTATTGTATTGATTTCTAACTTCGTCTCATCCTTGTCCCTTGAAATCAAACAGAGAGACAGTCTATCCTCTACAATGACCGTTGAGGTTCATGCAAATATAATAATTTCAAATTAATTTTAAAATTTTGTGATTTTAGTGCCATTTGCTAAAAGTAGATTTAGTGAAAGTTAGTAATTTTTAATCATTCCTGACAGGGCGGAGGGTTTAAAAAATAAGTTCACTTGGAGTACTGATGCTGCATCTATGTCGATGGCTAAGGTGGAAAATGCATATCTTCAATTGTGACGTTGTAAATCATTGCTCATGCCAACCAACAGTTTTTTCTGAACTGAAATTCCTCATTGATTTCTTCACATAAAGTTAATAATAATTCACTGAAAGATTGAAGCCGATATGTATTTTTTAAAATTTTCTTTAAAAAAGATATGTACAACGTTCGGAGGTTTTCAAACGTAGAAATGGAGGTACACATTTTACTACTCGAGCCATCGAGGTATGCAATTCTAAATTCAGCAAAAGATCAATTAATTTCTCTTCTTTCCCCAGCATTTTTTAAAGTATTTTCTTCTTCTCTTTTAAAAGCATAGGTCTTTACACGTGTGTCCTTTTAATTGTTCAACTTTAAAAGGAGTAAGTAGCCTTTGAATTTCCTTGATTATTGGAGTAAATAATTGTAGATGAAATTCTTAAGCTTCCCGGTATTTCCTATTTATTAGCAATTAAATTATGGCGCCCTCAGTTTTTTCTTTTCTTTTTTTTCTTCATATATATATTGTTTATAACTATTGGACAAGATGTGTTGGAAAGTAGATATACCCTAAAATAAACCTGGTCCCCTTTTTATTGCTGTATCTCTGGAAGAAATAACTATTCTGTAATCTTTTGCTGCAACTCTAGAGGGCACGACCCAGTTAGAAAGCAACTTAGCCTTACGCTCTTTTGTCTGCATTGAAATCCCTCTTTGTCAGTGCAAATTTATCGTTCAAAGAGTTGAATGTCCCATACTTGAAAAATAATTTGTGCTTCGGAATGATTTTACTGAACTCATTTAAAATCTGGTACTTCAGAGATAGACAAAAGAATGAATGCATGTCTTACATCACATTTGAATGATCAATTATGTTGAAAATTCCTTCAGCAGAAAAATAGAGGGAAATTTTGGAGCAGAAACAGAAAACATAATAAAACTGAAAAGTTTAAAGCAGAACAGCCTAGCTTTGGTTAAAATTTTGTATATTTGTCGCTCATCGTGCTCTTGCACAACAATCTTCTTTCGGTCCCCGTTTTTAGTTCAAGAATTTATGATTTTTTAACAAACTGTATCATTGATTTTTTTGTAAATTTTCTTGATGTTTATACTCATTTATTATTTCTTTGTAATTTTACTTTCCAATTGACTTCTTAATCTGTCATAGTTTTTCTCTCTCTTTTTCCCCATTTATTTGCTGAGATTTCATGTACTATCAGCAGAGAGGAAAAGGAGACAAATCTCCATATTTCGAAATAAATTTTTTTGCCTTTATCTAAACTTTGTTGTTTTAAGTTTAAATTGTTGATAATAATCATGATTAAAAGAAAAACCTTCATTTCATTTAAATTTGTGCCTTTATTTTTTTAACTCTCATCCTGTCAATTGAGGACTTCGGTGCGAAATGGGTACTTCTTAGCTTAGTTCCTATGTTTCAGAATTTATTTTTACGTTTTTACTCCAAACAGAAAAAAAAATACCTGCACAGAGATGTGAATTCAACAGAATATTCTTCACAATTTTAACGACATCTTCAGCACAAATCTCAAGTTCAAAAATACCTTGAAGTTTCGCCACAAAAAAAGACATTGTTGGGGGCTATTCTGAAACACTGCCAAGAAGTTGTGCCCTTTTTGCACCCAAGCCTCCAATTAGTTGGTAGTGTTTGTAATGAAAGGAATTTTGTAAAATTGAACCGAGTTTAACCACTACTTTTACTCCACAAGCCCTTGGGGTCGGGAGCCCCTAAGGTCAATTTGAATGTTCAAAATTGTGGTGCTCATCGGTTATTCATCGTGATGAATATTGATGGATTTTTGAATAAAAAAAAAAAATGCCAACATCTCATAAACCATTGGTCATAAAGCAAAATGGACAAAATGTCCCAGCTCCTCCATAATCCTGAGATGACTCCTCTAGAATTGCACCAAGTTCTTGCTTCAAGTTTGAGCGGAGAAAAAGAGGTTTCAAGCTTTTTAGATTTTACCACCATAAGACTTATCGCTAAGAACAGAGTTAAATGCCCATATTAAAGGTCAAAATATTATTTTTTGACTCTTAATTTTTGATCTTATTATTTTCCAAAAAATGACTTGGCGCGTTTCTGTGAAACTCAGTTTAAATGAAATAAATCAAAACAAACCATGTTCATAGGATTCACTTGTCGGACTTCCTTTTTGTCCGAATCATTCATTCATCATTATTTTCAGTGTAGACACATTCAATTGCAAATTGTAGTATACAACACAAAAAGTGAGGACTGACTTGGAGTACTGTTTAAGGGTTGAAACGCAAGTATATTGGCACACTCAGAGGACCAAGGCTCACTAAAATGAATCAACCCTCAAACAAAAGTTGAGCCGCTAACCTGACTCGGCCTCATATTTAGCATTAAATATTTTCCAATTCTTACTACGGCAGAGATTGATCTTTGTTCTATGAGCATTGATCAGAGGGGTGCGGGGCTTGTTTCTTTTGAATGGACAATCTATAGGGTAAGAAAAAAGCGTCACAAGTAATAAAAGAATAGTTTCAATTAGCTTGAAGTATTTATTCAATTTGTTACACAGCCAAAAGCCAATGACATAAAAATGAAAATATAAAATGATAAAGGCATTAAAAAAGAAAATAGGAGGGGTTAAAAACTTAATAATAGCCTGAGTAGGGATGATAAGTAGGAGAGAGGGCTGATCGAGGTGTGAGATAAGTGGGAAGAGTGGGCGACAAGGGATATGACTGGTACGTGGGAGAGGAGGGGATAAGATTCGTTGCTGGAGGGCGCGGCAACGAAAGGTCCACCGATTGCGAGTGTAAATTAACCACTCTCAAAACATCAGAGTATGCGTGAGATGGATTGGTCCCATACAGAGGGCGAGGATACTTTGGAGGAGACACTTGAAGGTTGGAGTAGATATGACCTAAAGCAGGACAGCGCGATAGGTCTGCGGACTCTAATGATTCAAAACTGAAACCTCTTTCATCAGTTCCATTATCGTACAATTTATACAGGCTAGATCTCTCTTCCATTACATCATACTGCTTTAGAAGAGTTGGAGAGCGTTCTTCTAATAACTCGTATTGTTTGAATAAGTTGAGTCTTTCTTCTGAAGCACTGATTAATCTCTCGTCTAGAGGGTCATACTTAAGGCTTCGATCATCTAATGGACTATAGTGCTTTAGGAATGGTAAGCGATCTCGGTTCTCATATTGTTTGAGAAGACTAGATTTTTCTTCAATGCTCTCTGGGTATGATTTGTAAGCAAGGACGTCAATTTGGAGCCGATCCTTTGAGCTGAGACACAGATTTTGGACGGGATTTTCGCACTCATCACCGGACATATCATCTGTTTTATGGAGGTAGTTTTCGTTTTGCTCAGCAACACGAACAACATCAACAGGAGAGAGATGTAAGCTGTACGGAGCGCCATAGTGAGGAGGTGTAATTTCATCATGATAAGTTGAGGATATGCTGTGGAAAGAGTAAAATCAATTAGCAATCTACCCGATTTTCATGAGAGTATTTTCAAAAATATGGTACAAACTATACAGGACTCCTGTATTTGATAAGAGTACTTCAGATTTAGTGGCACCAAGACTAAATTCTACAGAACAAAACTGACTTACATCAATTGGGAGTCGATAGAGAGAGATCTAATCGACTTAAAGGATTGATGATACTAAATAGTTTTTCTCAAATTTAAATTTTTGGTAATGGAAAATATACGATCAACAAAGCTCAAGGTCACTCTCGATCGATTTTGTTCGAAAAAAATACCTGAGTTATTCATAATATGACAAAGATGATTTTAGATCTCTACTCAAATCAGGACTGTTGAAGATGAAGAGACACAAACTTTACGCAAGTTAGGACACATTATTTTTCATCATTGAAACCCTTAAATGGATGTAATGGACCACTAGACAAGGTATGAAGTTCAGCATTTTGATACATGTCTCCAGACCGAAATTTCACGTAGAACACGATTTGCGCAACGAAAATTACTGAAATGATTTCTTAACTAAGATATTAAAAAAATGTTTCCTAACACGTAATTTCAAACCTCCCGCTCATGAAAACACACTCCTCTGTGAGTCAAATCGCATACTAATCTTTACCATGACAATCTCTACGGTATGAAAATCTGGAAACTTCAATCTTGACGCTTAGGCTCAGCTATGGCAAATTGTATACACTTTGAACGAAGAAGGGTGGGGGAAGAACAATGATCGATTGAGAAGCCTGCCGTAACCGTTGTAATACACGATTGGACTCACATAGAGCATTGCGCTTCTTGTGATCGGGCAATTCAAAATTCCCGTAAACAGTGTAAGATAAAAACGTTAATATCTTAATTAGGAGTTAATCTCAGTAGTTTCCAATGCAAGAATCGTGTTTTACGTGAAATTCTAATTGAGAAACATGTATCAGAATGCTTAAATTCGTACCTTGTCTAACGGTCCATTCTGCTAAATGGAACTACGGCCGAGTGGGAAAGATGGAATATACCCTAGAAAGCTGCACAAGAAACAATGTAAACGTGGGCGTGATTCTCTCTAGAGAAATGGAAAAGCGGGATTTTACATTTTACCAAACGGAACTAGGCACCCATTGAATGCGGCACTCATGATGAGCCGTGGGCATATAACAAGAGAGTCATAAAGAGGGCTAAAGCAATTAAAGCAGACCCTGAGCAACGATGGCGGTGGCTTCGTCGCCGCTTACGTCACTGGCACTTTATAATTCCCATTTATTCTAACGGCCCTCGACTAACATGCACACCCAGTTCTTTCCCACCTGTCTCTGCTTCCGTTTAGCAGAAATACATCAAAATGGTTCCTGGGCTTTCGTGCCAAAGCATAATTTGGTGAGATTTTGATTAAATAGAGAGAACTGAATATATCTGAATTTCTTGTTGGAAGGAATTTCAGTGAACAGGATCGAGGTAAGACCTGCCGAATTTTTCTTCCGGAATTTAAAAATCGATCTAAGACTGTATCAACCTGAAGAAAAAGAAAATGAACTGATAAAATGACTAAATGCATCCAATTTTAAAAAAGCTGAAGATTACCTGATATCCAGTGAACTAGATTGAGATTCCGGATGAACAGACAAATTGAACGGAGGCATTAACACAGGCGACTGAGAACTTACTCCTCTCTGCTCATCATCGTGATCCATTCCAGCGGGGACGCCCGCTGGATCATGGGTGATGGTGAAATTAATAGGCGAATGATCAACATTGATCACTTTCTCTACAGCATCAATTGCAGCTTCAACCAGAAGACTTGCGTTGGAAGAATCTGTGCGTCCATATGGATACAACCCTTTGTTTTCTATTTCAGTTTCGCATTCACTGGATAAAGGCAGCATGGACGGCTTCTCTCTTATTTCTGATACTATCTCTTCATGGTACCCCTTCACACTGCTTTTCATGATAACGCTGGAGCTATGAGCACTATCACTTTGCTCATCGAAGTTACTGCTACAATTAACTGCGACATTATACTGGTTACTGGAGATATCAGTTTCATCATGGCTTGTCATGTTAACTGGACTTGAAAGCCTACGATTCTTAGAGCTGATCTCTGAAGGCGAAGGAGAAGTTGGTGTTTGGCATTGACTGTCAGAGTTTTCGCAACCTGCAAAGATAAAAGAAGGCTGGTTAAGGACGTGATTTACTCAAAGAGCAAAAATGCAGTATTTCTGATGGGCAAAATTACTATTAATAGTATATGCTAGTCAAGGGACTGGTTGTTGTTAAGTGCACTAATGACTCTTCGCATCAAGTTTCTGGTTGGAGAGAAATTTGTAAAGAAGAGGAATCGATTTTAATATGCAGACTTTTATGACACATTGGTGGATTAGAAAGTTTGAAGTGAATCTGTGGTGGTACAGGAGATTTTATAAAACGCTCATTGGATTACAACACTTATTACACTTTCAGGAGAATAAAAAATTTTCTAATTATTAAATACCTATTCTCTTTTGGCTTTATCCTTACTTTCAGAATAATGTAAAAATATACATCAACACCCGAGAAAGAACAGAGAGTCACCATATATAATTTTTGGAATTCTTTTGATTTCCAAAATCATATCTTGCTTGTAATTAAATCTTTATTCCTAGACACTCGATGATTTTCTCAGAGTAACAGTGTATTCAGGGAAAACCGTAATGACAAAATTTCACACAACCATAAGATTAATATTTAATTTTTTACTTGAGATAACTGCACATACTTTGGGGCGATCCCGCTTGCGAATCACTCAGGTTTTCTCCAGCGTAAGCATTGAAAGTATACTCGACAGTCCGATGAATTTTAGGCATGTTCTCATCAGAAAGGCCATGAAATTTTTTGTAATGAAGTTGCAAACATTGTTTCGTTGTGAAGGCAGAGGAGCATTCAGCCACTGAGCACCTAAACATTTGAAGAAAAGCATATAAGTAACACTTATTCATCTTGCAACGAATATCAATTTGGATTGGATTAAGTAATCTCCGTTGCGAATGTACAAAATAGAATCTACTGAGGAGATATGATAAAATATTTTGAGCTCAGCCGATTTTTCCCCTTTTTTTATAGGAATGGAAGAGTAGATACTGATTAAGAGGTTAAATTCATAAAGTAAGTAAGGAAACAGCAAAGCTCGAAAAATAAATTCTTGTGTTTTAGACATTAGCGGACTCTAGGAATCCGAACATGGATGGATTATTGTTGATGAAAAAAAAAGATGAGGTAAGCAGAGAAAGCTAGAATAAAAGGAGAAAAACTACCTGAAAGGTTTGATGCCAGAATGCGTGAGCATATGAATTTTCAAATTTGACTTATTCTGGAAACCTTTTCCGCACTGTTGGCAGGTGAACGATACTCTCTCGCTCTTGTGATGCACTTCTTTATTATGTCGCTGCAATGCAGCCCTTGAGCCAAGTACCCTTAAACAACTCATGCACTGAAATTCTGCTAGAATAGATGAAATATCTAAAAAATAAGAAAAAGTCAATTATTAGATATAATGACTAGCTATATCAATCGTTATTGCTAAATAACGTTCAGCAGTGATAATTTTTTCTGATGTGGACAACTTAACCCTCAATCAAGCTACATGGACAAGAATGAATCGGGAAGTGCCATTTGTGGATGGGTGGAAATTTCAGTGCCTCTTCCAATAACTTGCCAACTTGTATCAAGAGACAGTGTGTGTTTTTATGAGACGATTTCATTGAATACCTTGGAATTTCCACCCAGCCATAACTGCATTGTTCAATGCAGACATATCAACCCAGTTCCATAATGTAATATACAAAAATGGCATTCCTCTATTTTCGTTTGAAAAAAAGAATCAGACTTTTCAGGATATACTTTTAACATACTTGTTTAGCCAAGAATGAGCTTATGGCTGGACTATTATTTTAAGAACTATCATGTGCCTTCACTAGGTTTTCTCAAATTTTGTAGAGGAATCTGGGTCTTTGGATTTAATTTTCTTTCGTACTGCTCGATACACAGAGTAGGGCATTTACGCTTTCAACGCCCTAGGCTAAACTTTGATATGCACCCTGAAAGTCTGCGCTCTTAGGGGCTGTCCCTACATTATGTAACGCTAAATTTGCGATTATTTGACACCCCCCCCCCCT